GCTTTTTATATTTGAGAAAACTAGTGATAAATTCTTTAATGTCAAGACCGGCTGAATGAAAGCGCTTGATTTCTGACGCGTATTCGGAGTCCCCAAGCAACCCCTGACAAACAATTAGCGGTAACAAATTTTAATGTACATCCTTTCTTGCATTTGACGTAAATGGCATATACATTATTTAGTGAATGATTACTCAATTCGATATTGCAAGCGTCCAGAAAATTTGTCGTAAGCTAAGGCGAGGATGAGAAGGATGACCTATGGCGAGAAAGGACAGAAAGGTAAATATCAGTGTTGTTATTCTCGATCCCTGTGCTTGCAATTGCATCAGTAGTCCAGTACCTCGCATGAACCTCGCTCTAATTTCAGTCCTGCTTGACCCAATAGCATCGGTTCGAGAGCTCAGCCATTTAAACTGACGTGATTTATTTGATTTTTCATAACTGCGTTGTGTTTAAATCTGTTATATAGTGGCCAATATTGCTTAATATGAACATTGTTTGTTGTTGTTATTCTCTCGAATTCTCTTGGACTGAAATGTGACTGAGTTGGCCGAGAGCTGAAACTCAAGACCGCTTTATAAAGGAGAGTGGCTCATCGGCTAAAAGTAGATAGATATACACTGAGGCACACTGAATCGCGCACTACGGCCTAAATAAACTGACAGGGAAACTGTATAATTTACTTTGTAAAAACAGTAAAAAAACAAAACAAAACAAAAAAAACATAAAAATTCACCAACAGCGCCAGGATTAAACTTCCGCTGGTGACGAAGCGGATTATTTTAAAGCACCCAGGGTCACATTTTAAGTAAGAGCCTGACAGCATAAGTGTAACGGGCTTTTACGTTCGGTTTTTAAATTCCTTTTTACAAAAATTAAACCAGAAAAATTCTCCTTATTTTCTTGTGAGTGAGAGTGTATTTTAACTCGCTTTGTTTTAATTTCGATATTGTTTTAAAGAATGTAGATCTTAACAATTACGTGAACAACCGGTATACTCCGGCGAATAGCCTGTCCCAGACTCCGAGATAGTCGGGTCCGCTGAATTGAGAACGCGATACTTTCGCGTCTTCCCCACTCTGAGACGCTGGAACAGGCTATCCGGCGAATCAAATCTCAGCAAGAAAAGCGGCTTAATCGACTACAGCTCTTTTCTGTCTCTGGCGCGATCGTGAACATAACAAAACGAAGATAACAAATACAAACAAAACATATCGAACAAAAGAAAGGGAAAGAAGCAACATTAGCAGTAAATCCGCATTACTCCTTGTGTCATGACAATTTTTCTGCGGTGAGTGACCTTTAAAATCCTATGCACCAGTGGTCAGCACGGGAGGAAATTGAAATAATCTCCCCGCGAATTAATCGTTTTTTTTTCTTAGATCGCGTGCTTGAAGAGGTAATTATTACCCCTGCGTTGATTTATTGCGGTAGGATTACATGAAATTTGATGAGTTTAGTGTTTTTAAGAATGATAATTAGATTTTCTTAAAACCATCATTCCCTTATATGAAACAATAAGACTATACCACGTGACGTGGCCGCCATGTTCATTCGACTGAAGCCGCGTAAAGTAAATAATCGAGGATGTGAACATGTAGAAGTTGTGTCTCCGAGGGATTACTCTGTCATTTCGCTGTTAAAGTAAATAGGAGGCTTTCCTCTACATCGACGCCTAGAATAGTTTTGAAATGGTGAGTCTGTTGTCTTTTGTCTGGCAAAAATAGCGGTACAACTTTCGCCAAAGTGGGTTTTCTCTTTAGAAGCTCATTTTGAAGGACATTTGAACGCTTCATGTTTTCGCCGGCAAAGCAATTTCTAATTTTAGCCATAAGAAATTTCGTTTAAGGAGGAGAACTGCTTTAAGAGGGGGTATTTATTGTCATTTTGATGACTAAAATCCAGTATACTTGAAACTTCGCGATTTTGGTGCGGATTCAAACCGTGAACAGCGGGTTTGAAATTTGAGATAAGCTTTGGCAGGAAGACATATCTAACTAAAATATTGTGTGATGCAATTCGAACTTGATTTCGCTAAAAATTCTTGTTACATTCTCCCATGATTTTTGTAATATTTGTCTGTTACTTAACAATGAAAGTAATCTTAATCACAATTTGCTATTTATAAGTTTGAATTCATTGCTGGGCAGTCATGTGTATAACTCATGAAACAAGATCCTACATGCATGAGTTTATGTAAACCGTAAAGCATAGCTGAATTCCGTCAACAAACTGTGTACAATACCAAATTTGTCGTATTTCAGATTAGAGTTTTCTATTTTCCAATGAGAGTGATTAGTTTTTGGCAGTTTAGTGACCTTGTAAACTCATCTCTAGATATTTTTTTTAAATTAAATATCATTATACTTTCTTAATAGAGATAAGCTCACATTGTAACTCATTTTTAAATCAACACTATCCATCGCAAATATACAAATGTAATACCATACCAGCTTTGACTGTATCTTGAATAAAATATGTTTGTACGGATGCACATTAAAATTTTTCACACATGTCAGGACCCCATTCTTTCCATGAAGGTGCATTATGAAACATAAAACAATCTAAACCATGTGAAATAATTTATTACTCAGTAAAATTAATACATCAACTTGCAAATGATTATGTTTGCAAACTAAGTTGAATAATAGCTCAATTTGTCTGACTTTGTTGTTGTCATCTCGTTAATTCCTGAGCAGCACCAAATTGTTTATCCAATATATGTTATCTATTGTGTTTATGTTGTGGATAAAATTTGTTCTCAAGTTAAACTAGAATTTCCTTTTTCCTGTAGGAAACAAGGGAAACCTCTAAATTATCAAACTAAGCTGAGTAGTGATCAACCTGAGAACAGTTTTTCCAATGACACTTACATGTATATGGCGCCAGGGTGTTTTGTGATTGTCGTAAAATATCATAATCAGACAAAGAGGCCAATGCCTCGGCGCATATGTAGTTTCCATTGATAAATATCCTTGTATTAACACGGCTATGAGTTATTTTATTCAGTTTCCATGACAACATCATACCAGGGTATACTTTGCTGTTAATATTGAGCACTTCTGATTAGTATTTCCATATTACTCCTACACTCTGGGTGTTCGAATTCAGTCTAACGCAAAGGTTTTGCTGATAGAACATGGGCTTCAGTGTTACATATACATTCTAATTGAAACATGAAGTGGCTGGTAGTAAGTTTATGACCTATGAATCTTTCTTCGTATTGTTCTTGTCTTATTTGTACTGTCTTCATTTATTTAAATGTCTTATTGTAAAGTAAACAAGGTCTGAGGAAGTGAGACAGCTCCAATCTTCTGGAAGTATTTTAAAGTAATTTTTACCATCTGAAGTAGGTTAGGTTGTCGAAGTACACATTTTATAGCCTTACGGCTGGGCAAAAACTACTCTCTCCTTTGGAGGAGATCAATTGAGCGTAAATAAGACCTCCCGCATGGTTTTGACAAGACTAAGTTTCTTGTTATCCATGATTACGAGTCCATTTTGACGGAACTCTTAAATTTGCATTATATTGAGCTTCTGCAACAGGAGCAGTTGTGTTTAATAAATTTGTTTGGATGTGTCAAAATAAAAACCTTCCTTACTGTTCCAGTTGAAGTTTATTTCCATGCTAAAAGTGGTCAAAAAGATGATCTTGTTTTTATTACTTTTGAATCATAAGACATAAAATGATGTTTTCACAGTACTGGATATCGAAGGAGCAAAATAGGAAAAAATATATTGGCCTTTGTGTGGTTAGCATAAGTTGTTCAGCTGGAATAGAACTAGGGATCAGCACAGCCAACTGCAAATTGAATTTTCTAACAGTATATTGGCAGCTATTTTGTCTGTCATATACACAAGTATTTACACAGGGGCAAATTTCTTGCGGTAACATTAATTATTAACAAGCATAGAGGTTTGAGTTCCTATTAACCATAAATTCTTTCTTTTTTCAATTATTTACATGAAAGCACTTATTTGGAAGTACCGGTACTCTTTTTAGATAAATAGCAGTGCAGTTGATTCCATTTTGTCGAATATTTCCTTTATATGGGTTAGAAGTGTTTGCTGCAGTTAACCAATCATTTAGTTACAGAGTAACTGCTAACAACTGGTGTTAGCTGGCTCATTTAAATATCTAGCTGGGTTATAATGCCTAAAAAGGATGCTGCCAATCTTTCTCTGTAGATGCAGTTTAATAGAAGTTTCAGGTAATAGAGAGTCATGGCAGTAGCATTATGTATTTATACGCTTATGTTAGTATGAATGAATGTAATTATATGAATACCTTTTCTGAGTTAAGCCTGCCTAGTTTTGAGGACTTTGACATCTTGATATTGCATATTAGTATAGGTGTTTGGCTATTTGCCTGTTACATAAACAGCACAGAAAACCCATGCCTGATGAACCTCTCCTTGGATGATCTGTTGAAAGGTTGACAAATGTTTGGGTGTTCTGTGTTACAAGAGAGAAAATTTCATAGAATACATGGTCAAAGGCAAGGCTTTTATGCAGCATAAATATTAATTTAAAGTATTTTGTTGATCTGTAGGGAAAAGATAATAGTTCTGGCCAGAAGCCAGCAGCCAACAGACACTCAAGATCACTTCGAATGGAGCGAGGACATCATGTCACAGACAACATCCCTAATAGAACCCAGTCAGTTGGTGCAGCTGCGGCATCTCGCATCAGATCATCATCTGCACTAGGACACCAAAGCCCGGCACAGCTGGAGAGAAAACATTCACAAATAATACGTAGACAATCTGGAATTTTAAGATCCAAGCCTTCAATCAAAACCCCAAGGATAGATCACACCACTAGCTTGTTTAGTAAATTATTGTCAGCACTGAGGTAAGATTCTTACTTTCCTTAGTTAAGGTGTTCACAATGTTATTATTTTGTCGCATCTATAACCAGGGCTCAAAATAATTTCCAGAGAGTCTCCGGGCACGATGACTGGTCAAATTCATCTTAGCTCAGTCACGTATTGTTTCTAGCCGGTCAAATTTAAAAGGTAAATAGCTCTTAAAACAAGGGCCCTTGAACCAAAACTGGGGTTATATATTTTCAAAAAACAGCTTCTGATATTTGGCAGGGTTATGGAGCTGGAAAAACCCACAAAATTTGCGTTAGAAATCTTATCAAGTACATGTTGATACAACTTATTTGAAACTTATCTTAGCTATTTGGGCTGTTTAAATTGCGTAAACTTCATTACCACAATGAGCGAACAATGTTCCAAAACTACGAGGCTAAAATTATGTTGGAAAAAAAATTTGTGCAAAATTCCTGTGAAATTGGCCAATTTTTCTGTGAATCTAACTCTGAAAATCCCACGAAACTTGCCCTTTTTTCCGCGACCTATCAGAAGCCCTGAAAACAGTCGCTGCTTAACTAATAAAAGTGAAAATATTTTTATTTTTGTGATGGAAGTGTGTGAACCCCAATGTCTGTTTCAATGCATGGGTTGTAAACAACAGTACTAGTTGCATTTCACCCCGGATTTCAGATCAAAGTTCTGCAATACACATACATACTGATAAAACAACTGACACATAACTGAACAGCATGGAAATTTTAATTTATATCATTCTCAATGCGATCCAATGCTGTTACTGGTCAACATGACCGGCAAGACAAAAGGTTGACTGGTCAACTCCCCAATCAGTCCGGACATTGTCTGTCGACTGGTATTTATTTCGAGCACTCAGGTAACAAAACTTAATTATTTTACTGCAAATGCCCTCTTTCTTGAGGTACATCTAACTCAATGCAAAAAATATCTATTATGAAAATAAAATATTGTCATTATAGCTCTGAGTACCTTAAGAAATTAAGGTGGCTTGATTGGACACTATTTTTGTACACACACCTTCCATTCAACAGCATAATCAGATTGACTTTTATTGTAAATCTAAGTGTATTTATAACACATGGATATTAAGACTGTTTTTTCATCTCTGCAGTGATTATGGCAAGCATCTTGAAGATGCACTGAGTACTGTAGAACCCAAGGTAAATATTGATCATAGTGTAAAATAATTAATTAACAGCTAGCCGCCAGAGGAAAACCCTTCACTCCTTTTGCTCCTTATATATAGTGGCCCCCCAAAAATATACCAGTAAATTCAATTTTCCTCTTGAAAAATCATACAAAATAAAAAGTACACCTGTACTATGCTGTTTTGCATTTGAATGGGCAACTCCATGATTCATAAGTTGGAGGGACAAATAAGCACGCCATAACATTGGTCTAGAGGTAACTATTATTAATCATGACGACCATATTTGATGGGGAAGCATAGATAAGGTGAACATGATGTACAGGCTGGTGAATTTATTTTTAGTATAATGCTTTGCACAATATTATTGTTTGGCAAGTGCATGGTAGGTACATGTTCATTTAAGCAATTGATTGTCCTGGCTTAACCCTTTGTGCGTTTCCCTAACCACATGTATGTAGTTTGTGAAGGGTTCTCCTGTAAATTGTGCATCATCAGCAAAATTAACTGACTAATGATGCAGCTTGGTGTTATTAGATTATTGGTGCACTCAGTACTTAAGATAGTGGTGTTGTTTTACTTCTCAGAGAAAGAGAATTGTTGAGGAGAGAATAAAGTAAGTATGACTTAGTATAGAACATCCTTAACCCTTTCACTAAAAAAATGTGGCTAAAATCAACATTTCACAAAAAATTTAAGATTTCAGTTTGTAACATTCAGATTAAAACAAAGTGTTCTATAAAATGTAAAGAAGTTTATCGCAGTTGAAGATATAACTTATGCAGTTGCCAAAAGAAGACCTGAAAATTTAGGCTTGCCAGAATAATTCAAACCCTGACTGGCTCTGCAACACTGGTGCAGTGCTCTAACTAATAATATTATTGAGCTAGCAAGCCAGCTGGGGTCATTGCACCTATGTAACTATGTGAAAATTCTGCTAAAGAGGATTTAAATGGTCACACCATAGGATTTTCTACAGACTCAAAAGTTAGGAGCATCTCCCAAGTTTCCAGTATTCACTCTGGCAGTGAAATTTTCATAAGGTCATGATGGTAATATATGGCAACAGAAAGATTACTTAAATAAAACTGAGTTCTTGCTGTTTAAAACTTCACCACTATAATTCCATCTCTTGAAATTTGTCAAATCAGGCTTGGGAATTTTTCTGAGGGTTAAATTGCTAAGGACTGTCTCCAATTTCAGAAGTTCACATGAATTTTTCGTAGTTGTGAAAAAGTAGTAAATGTTCTAAGAAGTGTGGAGCATTGCAAAATTGTTGTTTACTTGTTAAAGCTGTTGCTTTTGTGATGCTCTCATTGCTGTCACCATTGTTAGGGTTACATTACCTCCCTATATGAAATGGGCAATTCCAGAAAATATCCATACCATACCAAGGACGGCTTCCATATTTTAACCTCCCCTTGCCCTCAGAATTTGCAAAATGGGTTATCCCCCATGCGCTTGGAATTCCATAATTAATTATAATTGTTAATTTAAATCCATTTTTTCGCAAACCCCCCATTTTGATGATTAAATCCATTTTTTCGTCAAACCCTATTTAATTCCTGACAGTGTTTGTAAATATACCCAATTTGGCTTATTTTGCACCAAGATATTTCAAATGACTCCACTTCTGAACTTCAGTAGAGCTGGTTACAGAAGGAGTCAATTCTGGAAAGAAAATTTAACTCCTTCTACAACATCCATTAACTTACATTGCTGCAAACTGGTACAGAAGATAATTGAAATAAGAATATCTTCTTATGAATGTGTGTACACTCAGAAGATATTACGGTCAAGTGTATTGTTATTTCTACCATCTTGAATTTGAGCCTTCGGGGTCAGCAGTAGCTCCCAATCCCAGGAGCTTCAAAAATAATTTATTGAAATGGCTTCTTCGGTTAAAAAACCATGTTTCGCATTGAATGGACAAAATAATTTCTGAGGCTGTTTTCACAAGAGAAAAAAAGATGTTTTGTAGCATTAAGGCCTCTGGATGAGGCGCATGTTCTACAGGTGAACACGAACACATGGCTGATTGATGGATGCTTGCCTTCCGGTTGCCTTGTATCCTGCTTGCGTGGTTATCAGCAGTGTCATCATTTGAATTGATTTTAAAAGTCCTTAAAATAAGTATGTTGCCAGTGGAAATTCCAGATCTAAAGCCACTTCATGCCTTTGGAATTCCAATCGTAATACAGTTGACTCCCAAAAACTCGAACCCTCAGTAACTCGAACCAAAAGCGATTTCCCCTGGATTTCCGTCATACGTTTATTGTAATTTTATCCTCGGTAACTCAAACCCTTGATAACTCGAACCTCCTGCAAACTCGAAGTAATTTTTGTTTCCCCTCAGATCATTTCTATATAATTTTACCCTTGACAACTCAAACCATATTTTGAGCTCTTAAAAAGTCGCGGGAAAAAAAATCAGTGTACTGGCATGCATTGAATTTTGAATTTCCCATTGATGTGTTTTAGGCATATAGTTTACAAGCGGAGGCTGATGTTGTTTGTAACAAATCTAAAGTGAGACAGTTTAATTCACTTCTCAAAACGCATGTTCTATTAGGCTATGTTTTGTTACGTTACGTTCTGATATATAATCTAGAAATACACAAATGTTCACTGTACATTAAAAACTAGTCTTATTTTTCCCTTACTTTTGTCTATTTGCTTCTAGCTCTCGATAACTTGAACTCCCGATGACTCGAACTTTTTTCGATTCCCCTTGAAGGTTCATGTTATCGTTCAAAGAGCCCCCCTCCCCCCCTTTCCCGTGCTCTTGGAATTCCAAAAAGCCGTCCATGGTATGGCATGGATGTTTTCTGGAACTGCCCAATGATTATTTGAAGGAAAGTATGTAGCTGAACTGGATTTTCCAGATGGGTGGAGAGTTCTAACTATGGAGTTTGCGTAGTACTAATGTTGTTTAATTAGAGTGTTTTAATGTTTTAATTTTAGGTTGATTGCATCACGAAAACAACAGGTATGTTAAGCATGTGGTATTAATAAGAGAGATAAAATAGTTCTTAGTTTTCATGTTATTTTTACCATTAATTCTCAGTCTTTTTTATTACTGGTACTAACACATAGCAGTATGCTAGTTTTGATGATAAACATTCATGGCAGAGTATGATAATGAGTAAGAAAAATGTTGTGCAAGTGATTCATTCTTCAAGATTTATTAGTGGTCATGATGAAAAGTCATTATGAAAAGTTAAACCAACAGATTTAAGGCTATCAGAAAGAGAGAGATATGTTGTCAGAATAATAATAAAAAGTATCGATATTAAAGCAGTTTTTGAGTTACTTGTAACTTACAGACATAATAAAGGTCAGCCCAGCTAAGAGAAGGCACAACTCTCAGAAATTGCAAGGAACAGCACTTGCTGCCAAGCAGTAGCTTGTAGTTCCTTGGAATTACTTGCGCTTTAATAAGACGTCTGCAGAGAAATATTCCAAAATGAGAAGTATATGTACTTTTAATATGTACAACAGGATCCAAGATTTTGTTTAACTGTTTTGGAACTTATTACTTAATTAATGACATATTATGATTTCTTTATTATTATTTCATTATAAAATGCAAGGGTATATTACTCCAGTAAAATAATGCAAAATCAATTCATAAACATCCACATTTATTTTCTTTTTGTTTCTTGTAGATTGATGAAATTTCCCAGTTATACCTTTATGAGCAAAAGATGAGAGAAGGTGCTGGAAATTATCTGTCTGATTCAGTAACATTTAATTTCAATATTTATTTAAAATTTCCTTGGCATTTATTAAAGATATTGGCTTTAAATTACAATATTTGGTAAAGTTGGGAGTTTCATTGAATTTCACTGTTCATCTGTATTGGGATGGTAAGGGTCAGATCACTATAATATCTTTAAGTATCACCATGCAAAGCAATATTATTGTCGTTTGAAATGATCAGCATATATATCCAGCATTATTTAAGTTTCTTTGATACTGACATAACTACAAAATGTTACAAATTTTTCACTTCTTTTGCTTTTTTTCCTCCTCATATTTTTGCATTATTTCTTTCGCACTTTTTCTTTTCCTTTTGTACACTTGCATGTTCAGCCTTGTCCATTTTTATCCTATTTAATGATTATTTCCTGTGTAATAAAGAAATAATTGTATGTGTTTACGTAAACGTCTTGCCGATGCCAGTTTTTTTGTGTAATAATTAAGTCATATATTTTTAAAGGTGGTCCATATCATAAGCCTTATTTGCCTCCATGGCTAGCTACCTTGCCTCATCTTTTTGACTTTTATGTATAATATTTAATGTAAATGTGGCAAAATGATAACAAAACAGTGATAATAGTAATATTAGTAAATGGTTTGTTTTGATTTACAGGCTCACGTAATCTACTGAATGCATTGACATATCAAGGATCTAAAGGAGGACAAGAGAAGTGTCGATCAAGTATTGCTTCATGTACTGAAGTAAGAAAACAGTTATCTAACAATATTTGTCATGACACCATCCCATACCAATGGCCAATATTTGCAATGGCGGAGGACTTTAACCAACTAGTATATTATAGCTTTCCAAAGGAGCATGTTCCATAGGTTGTTATATTTTTTGATTAAGTAACTTAGTTTTTTATGTTACTTATTATGCTTTTGTTTACATTGCAGAAAATGTGTGCTATTGAAGAAGAGCTTGAAACCAAATTGGGAGTTTTCAAGTTTACATTAAATGGTATGAGTTGTACAACCTGACTCATTAGATATATTATTTTAAGAAGCTGTAAAAGCAGATAGATGTATAGCTGACATTGGAACATATATATATAACTATTTCAGTTTTCTGTTTTCTTAATGTGGGACTTTATTACTGTACTTTCAATTGTGCCCAAAAATAAGGCAAGCTTGATGTGAAAAAAATCATTACAATGAACAAAGGAGAACTAATTACATGTAAATGTTTGTGTGGAGAAGAAAATTACACAATCACATGAAGCATCTAGTAAAACGATATATAGCTATTGTGTAGTTGATGTATTGAAGGTTGCTTACTGAAGTGACTGATTAAAGATTTACTGGCTTTTTTTTAGCTCTGTTAGCCTTTGGAAGACTTTGCAGTGGGGATGTCTATGACGTATGTATTTGAACTTCATTTTACCACTGGTTCTGGTCCCTGTAATAGAAGATATGTGTCACCTGCTCTTTTATTATTATTTGTTGCATTCTAAGTATTTTTTTTCTTTAGTTTAGGAATTTCCATATATTTAGTCATTGTTGTCCTTTGAGTCAGATTGCAGTTATAGGTCTGAGACATTAAGGAAAGTAAAAGTTAGAACAAAAATAAGATCAAACCACATTGTTTCCTTTAGCCAGCCCATAGATGTTGTTATTGTTGTTGTTTTTGAGGTGGAATTTGGCAAGTATGGTCCGCTTTTTTCTTTTTCTCACGACTCCTCATTTGGTTTAGTGGTCAATAGCTTATCTTGCGTGAGCATTTTTTATGTAGTTGATGACCTCTAAAGAGAGAGTAGGAGATCCATGAACAATCTACTCATCCATCATAATAATTTTTTGTTTGCTGGTATTTTAGGTACATATTAAACATGGAAGTAACTTTAAGTGGAAGGCAAGGTGCAAAGTAGAAAGGGAGAGACAGAGGTGGACAGATGGTGAGGTAAGGAACAAAAGTGATTATAAATAGAAATTCGTTTACAATTGTTAATGTGAGCTTGGCTAGCCTGCACTACAGACCTGGAATGTTCAAACGTTGGATAGTGTTATCCATCGGACAAATCACTATCCAGTAGATAAGTAGGAGGGGAACAAGTTGTGTTTATTCACTGAATGGTGATTTATCTGACGGATAGCACTATATATCCACCTCTTGAAGGGGCAAGATGTATTGTTCGCGTGAGTGAGTGCTACAGTATTTCTTACAGTAGCCATCTTTGATATTGAAAGTAGGGAAACACTTGGGAAAGCAGAAAGGTTGAAGGGTTGGAAAGAGGAAGGGGGAGGGGCAGACGTAATTAACCTCCGTTAGTGACTTCTGCGAAGTACTGCCGAGATCCTTGTTCTGTGCCCACAATGGGCTTAATGAATTACCGCATGTCTGGTTCGAATTTCCTTTCGTACTGATTGGCAAATCGACAATGGCTTTTTTAACGGGCCAATCATGGCACATACTCAAATCCTGGTACACAGGTGGGGACCCAGAACAACGATTTTTTTGGTGCTGTTTCACAGACAGACTTAACCAGAGTTTACTTTCATCTGTGGTGTAGGCTATTCCTTACTGAGTGGTGGCAGCTGTTTCTCAGTGACTCACCTCTCAGTTTTTCTTGCCACGCACTGATATTTGTGACACATAAATCAAATCTTATGCACTATTCCTTTCAATATAACACGTATGATATATTACCGCTGCTAAGTTAATTGAATTATTGGTACTAGCCTAGCCCATCTGACTTGGGCAATGGGCACTATGGCAATGCATGAATCCAAGAAAACTTTCACATCTACACCTTACTGTTTTCATCCACATACAGTGAGCTTGTACTTTCACATCTTACACCTTGACTGTTTTTGGTTTATCCACATAAATACAGTGAAAATTAGAAACCTTTGTAGTAGTATAAAGTAATAGTATGATTTATGCAGACAAATACAATATCCTCTCTTTCACTCACCTAATTGTTTTTGAAATATCATAGATGTGTTCATAATTTATTGGTTTGTTGCAGAGAAAATAATTATGGGAAGAAAAGGGTTAAAACTCTATGATGCTATGAAAGTGACTGGTTTTCATGCCATCTCCCAAAGAAATTGCACTTCAAAACATCCTCCTAACTATGTGTATGACTAATAGCCCTTATTTCTTTTTTGCATGTTTTCTTTCATAGTTTACTTTGAGACCTTCCATATCTGATGACTTTACCATCCGAGTAAGTATAACTTTAGCTTAGTTCAACAGTTAATTGACACAGTTCTTTTTCTGGGAAAGAGACTCATCAGGCTTGAAATAGTCAGAAATTAATACTTCAATCTTTTGACAAAGAAACTGTGAACACCTGTAAGAACAAAATCTGGCAAAATTCTTTCTGCCCAAGGCGATTACTTATCACATGGTTGTAACTGAATTTAGAAACCGTCACTTGTGAGATACAATGTCTTGTTGCTTCGGCTGCCTCGTAAGGAACATTACATAGTGAGTTGTAGACCGCTATCAAGCTCTCCTGGGCGCTCTGGCAGTAGGTGAGAAAAATGGCCGCAATCTCTCCCTCATTTTTCGCCCTGCTGACAGAGTGCCCAGGAGAACTCACTAGCAGGCTGAGTCAGTGGGGAAAAAGTTTGCTTTTTAAAGACACTCTAGACGACATAGCAAGTGGAAATGTTCTCTTAGTAATTCAATAATGTGTAGCCTGACTGTACATGTAGCTGCCCCTCCAGTTTTTCTGTTTTTGATTTCATGAACTTCTCAAGTCCCAAGATTGATCAACATCAGTTTTCTTTAAACAATTCCATTACATAACCAAGAGAAAATACTATGAGAGTCAATAAAATGATCACCAAAGGGAAAACGTTTTGGTTTTTTTTGTCAAATTCTCTCAACGAAATCCTTTAAGGAAATGCAATGGAGATCAGTGAGGAGAATTTTTAATCTGTGGATACTGGGACTCAACTAAAGGAATAATTTCTAAAACAGTGATTGTTGGTGCTCTGTGGTTAGGTAATTGAGATGAAGAAGATCCAAGCAAACGTGCAAATTGGGAATATTCTTTTAAGATCAAGAAATTACATAAAGGCCAGACCTCAGGTTAGTATTAACCACTCATATCATATCAGTACAGTGCTTAAACCCGGCTGACATTGTGTTTAATAACATTGCTTTCAATTTTATCGGCTAGATTGTGTCTGTACCTCTAAACAGCACGGGTTCAATGAAACTTAAGATAACCGTGGAATGGAGGTAAGTTACTTTTACTTTCCAAATTAATGGAACTGCTCACTTGTATTAAATACTGTGTGTTCTTCACACACTGTCTTTGACCAAGTTTTCTTTAACGTCCTACGAAATGAAAACCCCGGACACTGGTGTCAAGGAAATGTCTTGGAATGAAACATGAAAGATTTTTGTGCAACATTTCGGACACTATCACCTTCCCTTTGTCCACTGATGAAGAGAAATTCAGCTCACTTTGTTTTTTTTTGCTATCTATGAATCGTTTAGTTGGCATTGTAGCTTACCGGCCGTGTGCCATAAGGATTTTCGCATCTTATGCACTTGTGTCACTGACTACAACATCGTTATCATTTGTTTCTTTGCTTTCAGGCCATTTTCTGGAAAAGAGGAGAACACGTTACGAGCTAAGAATCAGAATTTGTTATCAGAAGTGATCTTCCTTCAACCTGCCGCTGCATCTTCTACTGACGGCATGGGCGGTAGTATGTCGGTGGCATCCAGCTCTACCGGTGACACCAGGTATTAATCCGGAAATCGTTCGTTTCAATACGAACTCAAGCAGTGAAATTGCGCAAAATCTCGATCACTTTAAGTATAGCTTGCTCGTGAACAAGAAAAACATTTTGTGTGAATATTCTTCGTTCTTTAAGCCAAGTACTTGAAACTATGTACGCCTCAACTGAATAAACTTACCGAGAACGACTTTGTATCGAAACGATCGGTACAACAAAACTCCGCTATGCGGACGCGCTGTTTTTGCTGCGACTGATTTTCCCTGGCATAACAAAGCTTAGTTAATGCGGCCCACTCTCAAATCAAATGTCCATTTTAAAGAACAGAGCGAAGGCCAACTGAATATCTCTTTCTCTTTGAACTGTTCTGATCTCTCTCTCTTTTTTTTTTGTTCTTTATAGTTCTGATGTGAGCGAAAACAGCCGTGTAGAAGATCGAGTCACTGATAAACCGAGTTCACATTCACACCAGGTGGGTAGCCCTTTGTGTAGTGTGAGTGAACAGTTCAATTTTAAACTAGTAACTAAAAAGTATCAAAGAAGACAAACTTTGTCAAAGAAGGCTGGTTCTTCGTCTCCAAAATCTTGTAGGTGATCCAATAGTGAAGCTAAAGCTAAGGCCGCGATAAAAGTAAGCTGACATTGGCACCATATTGCTATCTTTGTCTTTCCTTTTGGATCTATCTAATAACTCTCACTGGTCTCAGTATTCTGAGTGTTTATTCCAATTTTGTTATGAGTGAGTGATGATTTCTCTGATGTCAAAACATATGAACACTAATTGTTTCCTAGGAGCTTGTTGAAGATGCAACGGATTCTTCTGAGATAGCAGATAAAGCTGCTTTTTCATTGGACGTAGATGGTCTAATTTCCCAGGAATCTGAGGAGTTTCGGCATGCAACTTCTTTGGATAGTGCCCTGCAACATCTTATCCCTACTCTACAATCCAACAAAGGTTTGATTATTTGATGCACAATTAAGTTGCAGTTTGAATCGCACCACTAGCACTGTTTGTCGCTCAACCCGCTCTGGCCACTTGCTGGATTTGTTCTCAGTGGTCCCGAGTTCAAATCCTCGACCACGCTTATAAATAGCCAACTGGTTGCCTCCTGCCAGTTGGGGTTTTTAATCCTGTTATGTTGTATTTAAATTTTTTGTTTTTAAGTATTTGAGTGGAGTGCCTTTTTTTAAAGTTGTGGTGATTACAGGGTTTTTTAGCCCAGGGCTCCTTTTGCCATCGGGCTAGTTTTTTGTTGTTAACTTGCCCGATTTGAACTAAAATTTTACAGAAGGATTTCCTGTTAATCAAAAAGGGTTTTGGGGCTAGTTGAAATGACTTGTGCGCTAGTACATGCTAGCTACAGCTTGCCCGAATGACAGGCTGTAAAACTGACTTTCTTTGCACCCTTGGTGAAAAACGTTCTCACCATTGTGTTAATGTACTATACACACCGTAATTTTTAGGGAGTTATTATAACTCCAAAAATGGAGTAAAAATTTTAGGTACAGGATAACCCCTTTTTTGGGCCTAATTTAACTCCGAATTTGGGGTCATTTTTTACTCCTGAAAAGAGTTCTTTTACTCCCAGTCTTGGAGTTAAAATTACTCCGAAATGGGGTTACTTGTACTCCTTACAGGGGTTGTTTTCACTCTTTTTGGAGTTAATTTAACTCTGAAAGTGGAGTAAAAATTTTAGGTACAGGATAACTCCTTTTTTGGGGTTATTTTAACTCCTCAAAATCTGTGGTCACTTTTACTCCTGAAAAAGAGTTCTTTAAACTCCTTTTTGGAGTTAAAATAACTCCACGAAAAATAACTCCACTGTAAGGAGTTAAATTAGCCCCACTAGAGGAGTTATTATAACTCCCTGAAAATTACAGTGCAGATACATGTACGCTCTGCTCTGTCTGTCGTTGTATTCCCTTGTTGCTTGGACTTGCTCTGCTTTCATTCTTAACCCATTCAGTTCATATCGTAATGAACTACCCTTTCTCTCTCCTGTGGAGCCACTTCCCTAGTGAATCAATTAACTGGTGACGTTTGAAAGCTATTGCATGGGCAACCTTGACGTGTACCTTTGCACAAGTTACCTAATAATAATGGTCGTGATAAGATATGTAGTATTTATTTTATCTTATAGAGACCATTATCATGATGTAACTACTGCAAGAGAAAAACGATTCAATCAGATCAAACCATACATAGCTGATCGAGATTTTGTGAAGCAAGCCAGGAAAAACAAAAAAATCATGTAATTCCGACCCTAAACTTATTCCACTTCCGAAAGGACTTCAGTTAAATAATTATAGTGAATTCCCAGCAAAATCTAAAAAGGGAGGGAAGGGGAGGGGAGCGGGGGAGAGAAGCAGGTATTAGGTTTTTGTCCATTCGTGCTGGAACTTACAAAGCTGTAGTTTGTCATCGACTCCAAAAGCCTGTTACTGCCGGGTCGAGCCGATGTCTGGCTAGTGAACGGCCAGAAATCCCGTGTCGAATGGGTTACAATAAGAGAACTGATTCTTGTAATTTACTCTCCCTAGACTCGTAACGCACCCATGTTCCATGTCTGGGTTTGCTTTGTATTTTGCAACATATCAAGCGAGAATGCAAGGTTTGTTTTGTGTGATTTGCAGATCAATTCCCTGAACTTCACGGTCTTATTGCAAACCTGGAGAAACTGGAGGAGCTTGTTAAGGTAGGAGGAATTCACTGTGGCATCTGTTGGTGGCGTTGTTCATCACGGTCGTTAGTAGCTCCTCAGAGAGCCACCATCGTCTCTAAAGTTAGTTGAGAGAGTACATCCCAAAAGAATGAAGGAAAAGATATGCTCTCCCCCTTCCCGTTACCCCTACCCATATGCCTACCAGCTTTGTTAGTGAGGTTGGAGGGGACTTGTCTGCTGCAATATTTTCGCCAAATATAGTGAACCCACTGGACGAAAGCATCTCACGAATGTTGTCACCATTTGTAGTCTTCGTCTTCAGTTTTCCTAACTTAAAAGGGCTGTGTCACACTATTTGCAATCTTTTTAAAACGCTAAAACATGTCTTCGCATCAAATGAATTTCAAAAATAATGATCCAGTTTTTGCCATTTGAGAGTACATTAAGGCGTTGATTCCGTTGAAACTGTTTCCTGTTGTCTGTTGCTGCCGATGACAAGCTAAGAATGGACGTGGATTGAGACATACATCTATTTCTTCAAGTTATGCTATGCTTGCAGAAGTCACTAAAAAATTATCATGGTTTGTACTCTCTGACGAAGGGTGTGTTCCTTTCGGCGAATCCAAAAACGGATTTTTGATCCTAGATTTGCCAGATTTCTCGGTCGAAAGGAACGTGAAATCCGAAATTGGATTTGTAACCTTGGTAACCTTTCGCCAACGCGTGCAATATGCACGACAGCCTCTCAAAAAATGACGTGTTTTCTACTGTTTGACAAATTATGCGATTATACCGTTCAGAATTTGGTGGTCGGCAGTTCGAATAGCGACGATGGAACATATAAAACAGACAAAGAAAGAAGCGCATTGAAATTGAAAATTATCTAAAGAATGTCGGCTAGTTTGATCCAGTTCCATAGCTCGGATTTTTTTATGTAGCACGAACGAATACCTGTCGCGTCTACAAGCGAGTTTGTAGTTAGATAGCAGTTCATTTGTTACTTTTACTTATTTCTGATTTCAAGCAATCTTTAGAGACAAATGGTTAGTATATGGATATTTTAATGTACCAGGAACAATCTTCTAATGTTTTCAGATGTTTTGCGGCAAATGACCGCAACGAGGAAACTCTACGGCCTCTGTGGGAATACTTCAACTGGAAATACCGCTGGATCACTGACTAATTTCGGATCCACTGTGAATGGAACAGCGTAGATCACTAATCCCTTAATCTGGATTTGGATTCTTCGGATTTCAAATCCAGTGAATCCTTTTTCAAAAAGGATTCACCAGATCAAAAATCCGGATTTGGTGCCGAAAGGAACGCGAAATCCGTTTTTAGATCTAAAATCCGTTTTTGGATTCACCGAAAGGAACACACCCGAAATTTGTTTGATACCGTCTTCATAAGTCTGCAGGAGCATTTTTTGTATGTGTAAGGGCACTAAGTAACGACTTACGAACAGAATGGATCTTAAACAGCAATATCCTCGTGGCATAGCCCCTTAAAGTAAAAGACTCTTGTTGGCTTATACTGCCGCTTTGTTGTACACAAGAATGACCTGATCTTACCAGGTCGGTTGTTTTTACTCATGGAGTTATCATTTTGTCTTTACAGCGATGTTCGTTATCAAGGTCTTCCATGTCTCTATCAGTGGAAAGTGCACTAGAAAGCTTTGACTTCTTAGAACAGGATGCAGCAGATGAGACCGAAAGCACTCCCCGCAGTACTGCGAGCGGAGGCAGCGAATGTCACGATACAGGATACAACAGCACTGATGATTATAACAAAGACTTTGGCGTTGAGGGTGGCGCTGATGCTAGCTACATTGTAGACTTTTTTGCATCGAACAAAACTGTGGATAATCTTGTGTCTTCAACCGAAGAGAACAGACTTGATAAAATCGATGAATATCGCTTCAGTAAGGAGTTTGAGGAGGAAAATGATCATTCCAGCTATATAAACGATCAAGACAACGCTGATATAGACTCTTCAAATGATAGCCCCAATTGTATTACTGATATTTTTTCTTCGTTACCATCAACAAAATCAGTGGAAAGATCAGCAAGTGAAGATGATGCAGTGAAATTTAAGGAGGAAACGATTAACGAAGTGCCTTCCAACACTAGCTCTCCAAGGAAAAGGATCGAAGCTGGAGAATTGATACAAGAGAGTCCTCAACACAGTAGTTACAAAACTCGATCTTCTCGAGCTACGAGTCCCAACCTTTCGTCTTCATACGCTCCGGAGGCGACAGTGGGGAACAAGGTTTTGGATAAGGTAGATAAAACAGCTAAGCTAGATAAGGAAGCCAAAAACTTAGTCGAAAAACAGACTCGGCTTTGTTGTTTTTTCTCTCTAAAAGTCCGGGTGGCCAAGATGACCATAACATGGACTTGTATCATCAAGTTAAACTTTGCTGGCTCCACAATGGTTTCCCTGTGGTGCGGACGGACGGGCGTACAGTCACGTGACTACCAAAATTTCTTAGATGCTTGGATAACCAAATTTTCTTACCCTTGTTTTCTCCGCTGTAACATCCTCACTGGTCATTTTTCATTTACTTGCCTCGTAGGTCATCCTTTGCCATTTGCAATTTTGTGAAGAAATGGCTGGGGTACGTACATGCGTCTATTTCTAAATGTATTCAAAAGCTTCAGTTTTCGATACTTTCTTTAGGTATTCAGTAGTCAATTATAGTTTTTCATCTTATTTTTTTAGTATCTTGGATCATTCGGACCCATGAAATTCAAGGTTTGTAAGGTTCATTGCTAGTTTTTGCTATAACTTCAGCGTGCCTTTTTTCTCTCCTTCTTGTCTCCTTTCTTTTCCTCTTCTCTACCTTCTCCTTTTTATTTATTATCTTATTTCTTTGTTACTTATTCTAAGCTTGTTTCATCCATTTTCAGGAAATGTCAGCTTTGTCCAAGCTCCGGCAGCAGAAAGAAGTACTAGAAAGGTTGATCCAGTTTGTGTTATCAGCTGACCTCATCAGTGACTTATCGCTTTCTCAAAGTGAGTTTTCTACGTCAAATGTTCCCTCAACCTCGTCTTATGACCACGACCACCTCGTTGATATGACGGTCCCCTTTCTTATTTGTCCCTTCTTAAAAGTGAGTTTTCTGCTTCAAACCTTGCCGGAACCTCGCCTTACTACCACGACCACCACGACATTACTATGGGCCCCTTTCTTTCGGCCCTATAAATCGGAGAAGCTCGTTCATAAGACTAGATTATCATGGCTGGTGGGTGGTCTGAGTAACAGGGTTAATCTGTACTTAGCCTCTCAATGTTGATAGCCTCGTTTTTCTAAGAGGCTTAAAAACTCTCAAGTGTATTGGTTAAAATTGATCTTTCTGTTTGGCGTACAGTATATGCAGTAACCTCTTCTTTGCATTTTACAATGTGAGGAAAAACTCATCAATTGCGTAAATGGTTTCTTTTCTTGTTGATTCACTCAATTAGTTCCTTTACTTTGTAGTTAACCCGCGTTTGGTATCAAATCCAATGTTGGCCTCGTTTTGGGAGAAAACCTGTCAAGGCCAGAGTTCGGTAAGTGTTCGCTCGTTCGCTGTTTTCTATTGATTTGTCTAATTAAGTTCATCAGGATTAGCTCAGTAGGTAGAGCGCTTGACCGCAATGCGGGTTTTCGCAGGTTCGATTCCCGGGGCTGCACCAATACTCAGGGTCTTCAAATAACAGAGAAATGGAGGTACTGTCATTGCCTTGAAAACGGCTTGACCTTCGCGTGACCGCTATTCTACGTGGTGCGTAAAATGGCGGTCCCGTCGCCGGTAGGAGACGTAAAAATGATGTTCTCGATTAGTTCTTTCATGCTAAATACCTTGACACTTGAATAAGGTGGTTTTTTTTTTCGTTTTAGTTAATGTTTACCACTGCTGGTCAGCTGGTCAGTGCATTTGAAGACAACTACAAGAGTCAGATAACGCAAAGTTACAACAGAGTCGTTGACATTGGTACGGTAGCTTTTCAGTTCTTTTCTCATGACATTTTCTCCTGTCGGCCATATTCGCCTTGTTGTATATTGCAGGTTACAATTAGCTAAATTTTACGAGGAAACGAACATAGATAAGACTTCTAGGAAGGACTATAAAACCAGTCTCATTCACTTTTTCCCATCTTGTCCGCGTTGAATTGGATAGAGGTTCCTACTGTGTACGTCCACCATTGGAGGAGGTGGCCTTGCAGCTTAGTGGCTTAGAATTCTTGCTAGGGCGGAGTAATTTATCGTGGGTCTTTTATGTCTTCCATTGGCCGGGCATGAAAATTATTTTACAGCACAATGAGAAAATTCCACTTAGGAAAAAAATCTACCTCACTGTTTCTGCTCACAAGAGACTTTCGTAAAACCGAGAGATGGCAAATTCCATATAAATTTTGATTTGACCGCTACTTCGTGATTTTGTCTCAATACCACTGGCCACTGATTTTGAATTTACAGTTGAACCTTTCCACAACGGCTACCTTGGAGACAGAAGAAAATGGCCCTTATAGAGAGTTTGTCGTTGTGTAGAGGTGACCGTTAGTGGACGTTCGACTGTGCACTTGAGACTGAGTCGGTTTTATTTTGATTGCCGCTCTGTGGAACTGTTTGGAGGGAGGAAGTTTGACCCAGTCTCTTCCGCAACTGCGTACTAACCGGAAGAAGAAGCGATAGCATGCCTGAACAGTCCCCATGGTTCAATTTGCCACAACACCGACCCAGCCTCTCACGTAGCCTCAAAGTGATCATTAGTTTGCTTATTTTGGAATAACTGTTTTTTGTTGTTTTTTTGCAGTATTTCCTGTGATTGTGGCTCGTGTTATACACCAGGATCCTGAGCTGACTGATGTTTCGGCGGAGGAGGAAGATCTTGTGACTGTCTTTCAGTTTGAACACTTCTTCATGGACTGCTGCAGGTCGGTGTTTTCCGGTTTAATTAATTTTGTTGGTTTCCTGATTACAAATATTTATATCTCACCGGCCAGAACCATCTGAAATGGTGCTGTAAAAAGATGACCTGGCACAAGGCTTTCTTTTAGCGTAACCGTGGCAGTGTTAGCTTGGTGCTAGAGCACTTGCATTTAGAGAAGGAGGTTATTTATTTATTTATTATTTATTTTATTTTATTTGGCACACTAATTACAAAAAATATAGGAAAAGAAGAAGGAAAAAAAAAAAAAAGGTGAAACTATAGGAGCTTACTTGCCTTTATGAGCTAGAGCTGTTTCTGAAGAGAAGAAGGCGAAAAGTCGAAGATGGAAAGATTTATAAACTGTTTTCATACTTACTCAATAATTTAATCTTCAGTTTTTTCTTAAAAGAGGAGAGGAGTATGTTCGTACCAACATACAGGGTCTTAGAATAACCGAGTAGTATTTTCTTTGCCCTGCAAAAGGCTAGACATTCGAGGGGCTTGGACGACGAGGTTGAGATGGCCGTCCGTCTTTAACAAGAGGCGTAAAAACAGGGTTTATTTCCGTTTGTTGTTGTTTTGATTATAAAAGAAAGGTAGATGTATTTTAAACCGTCAAAAAACCTTTTTGATCATGTTGATGAGGGGATGATAACTGATTTATTGATTTTTCTTCAGGCCGAACCTGTCCAAGTATATCAATGATGTGGCTTATGAGCGTAAGTAGCTGTTTTGTTACATTGTGCGAGCGCTTTGTGATACTGCTCTTATTTAGAAGATTGGTGTCCTGTTAAGCTAGACTATGAGAGCGAGTCATGCAAAAACCCTGGGTAGCGAAAAGCCAAACAATATCGGACGTTAGACAAAGACCCGAAATGCGCTCATGATAAATAGTAGGGTCTTATAAAATGCTGAAAGAATTATAACATAGGCCATGTGGTAAGTTTTCCAAAGGGAAGGATCAAAGCGCCAGAGCACGTGTAGGTTGCTGCATTATATTTACGCCAGCCACGCTTGTTGTGATTCAAAGCCGTCATGTCTGATTCTTGGTTATCTTTTTTGTCCTATTTGTTTGCAGTCGTGATCGGCAAACGTCTTCGTTCTCCTGAGAAGGATGCCGTTGTTGCACAGGTATTTAGAGATGGATTCTTTACAGAATACGCGTATAGCCGTCGCATTTGCCGGCTGAAAATTTTCAGCGGAAAATGTCCGGCGGGAGCGGGGGGCGGGTACTGCTGCTCAATTATCAGTTTTTGGAAAACTCGCTGCGTTATTGTTTGTAGTTCTTACGTGATTTAATCCAAAGAGACGTCCTTTGTTTGTCCTTTGATTGAGATGATTGATGTGATCCTTTGTAAGTTGTAAAGTGTGCATATTTTGGTGAACGCACATGCACCCCTTTATACACTAATCAGGGTTTTTCTTGTTGTTTGTAGTTGAAGCAGTATACTGAGATTCCATTATCAAAGAGCTGTTTTTGTCCTGTGTTGCTTCTTCTACTGGACACTGATTTCTTTGTGTCACAGGCTGCAGGTACTTGGTTTGTCTGTTCCATAAGAAGTTATAGAGCAAGAGCAAGTAATGGGAGGAGAAAATTTTCTCTATTCCTGACGCAATAATATGTTTTCGTGTTTCACTTTGTTTGAAATAACTTACTATAAATTGGGTTTCTGTGACTTTACCTATTTTTCCTTATAATTGTCTTTTTTGTTCGCTGACCTGGCGTGCCATTCATTTAGAGTGGCACGCGGGCCGCCTCCACTTAAGCTCGTGGCCCAGTTTTTTCTTCTGTTCATTTCGCGGCTTAACTGACATAGAAAGAAGTTGTTTCACTGAGGTGCAGGGGGTTCTAGTAGTCCAATATTTAAAGCAATCGCACGATTGCTTTGGATTGCAGTATTGCACGATGCGTTAGGTTAAGAACATATGGCTCCACTTTCTAGTCCAACCAGAGATAAACTGATGAACCCCGCTGTTTTAACCCCACACGCGTTTTCCACCTATGGCGTCATTCATGCGCCGAGTAACTCGCCTGAAGTTTTGATGAGTTTGTTAAGGTTCTCTGCCATTTTCTTCGCCCCTTCTGAAGTTCTGATTGTGCCAATATCCCTGATGGTTGCGTTATTTATCAACAGAGGCGTATTTGTTACATTTACAAAAGAATGGCGAGCTCAGGAGGAAGGTGTGTTTAATTGCCTCAATATCCTAGATTGCCGAAAACTGGTCCGTTAACCTTAGCAAAAGACTCCTGGAATCGTTACTGGGGACTGGCGGGAACACGCTGAACAGCTATTGGCCAACTCCCTGAAACAGTCCCAAAGGTCTTTGCGAAAGTTAACTCGTCCCAGTTTCCTGATGGCGAATGCCACTGAAGTGCATGATATTCTCCACTCGTGATAAGAGCATTGCCTTTTTACTAGCTTTTGGAAAATTTAACGGTCACTTTGCAACAATCGCAAACGAAAATAACGCCAGGTCAGATTTAATTTTTAGTTGCAAAGGGAACCTTTTTAGCAATGTCTTGGCGTTATAGATCGCTGAAGTGATACTTTTTCCCTTCTGTCCTTGTCAAAAAAAACACTTCTTCTCATTAGTGTTCTAGTAGCAATATATCAGGGTTGCCGCGGTCAGGAAAAAGCCAGGGAAAAACGAAATTGTGTTTAAGGTCAGGGTAAAGTCAGGGAAAATCTTTGTTGTTTTCCAAGCCAATGAAACGTCAGGGAATTCTGTTTTCCGGTTTATAGTTCGTAAGTTTTCTTTAAAGATTTTGAAAGACATTTGTTTCGGAAAAGATGAAAAGTATGCTGCAAAGCAAGCAAAGCGATCAATTTGACACTTTACGCCTGACACATGTGATAGTTCTGGTCAGTGGTTTTCGTTGTGAACGCTTTCTTCCAAATTCCTTCTTCCACTTTCCGTGAAAAGCGGAAAAAGGTTGAAAATGAAGAGAGAATGGCTGCAAAAAAAGCTAAAGTGAATGTAAACATAGATTGTTATTCATTAATAGAAGGTCAGTGAAAACAGTTTAAAGGTCAGTAAAAAGACAGGGCATTTTTAACTTTCTGATGAGTGGCAACCCTGTTTATGCATCAGTCGCAAACACCTGGGTTCGCCTCACAATGCTCACATCAATTCAAACAGAATTCTGAGTGAAAAATATATCACCTCTTGTAACAAAAAAATAAATGCGTACTCAGTACCTTTTCTCTTAATTTCTTGCACGTTCCAAATTTATTTCAATGAATGTAAAATTCTGAATCAAAAACTGTGCCTTAACCGAGTCAGGACTGCTTAGTAACTTCCACAGATTCTAAAAGAGTTAAATGTACCTTATAACAGCAGTTAGTACCACAGAAGGTGCTGCACGTTAGATTTCATCCAGAGACTTCAAAGTTATAACAGCGTGTCTTGATGCCCCTTAAATCCTTAAATTTACGCTAGAGCTGAATTCTGATCGTACATCAAAAAGGTTCTAATCACCAGTGCCGGCTTTATTTACTGTCCCGCGTACAGGCTATTGGTTTGAGCATTGAAGCACTTGAAGAATCTGAGGAAAAACTTCGGCAAGGAGCGTGCGTAGCCCTCACAGTTCTACAGGTTTGTTTACTTTCCTTTGTTTGTACCAGTACTTGCCCAACCAACATATCAATTCTAGCTGTGTTTTTTACCTTTGCCTTTGGTCGGGGTTCGTACGGATCATGGAAAACAAAAATACGAGGACGAATTTTTCTTTCTCTTTTTTAACCTGGATATTCGTTAAAGTCCTTAAGAATTCAACTCCAGGAAAAATGGCCGTCATTTGACAAATAGAGCGGGTCCAAATAGACACAATAAAGTTAAACGGACGCAAATTCATTTTTTGCCGACGTTTTCATTGTGTCGTCGTCGTTACTTAAGCTCCCCATCGGCTACCTTCGATCGTATACAATGTAAAGGAATACTTGAAAAAGTTCTATCTAGCCTTTGTTTCAGTGTCTAGTGTCTGCTCCTCTTGTCTCATATGCTTTCCACTACTGATGCACCAGTGAAACCCAAAATACTGACTATACATTTGATAGCCAACAGTTATTGTTCTCCCTTAAGAACTTCTCTGTACCACTCTCCAGGCAAGAGATGCAGTACCACAGTTGCTTTACCTCAGCCGATGCGATGTGCAATCTGTAAAGTTAGAGGCAAGAAAGGCGCTGTCATCCTTAGGTAAGTTTTACATTCCCTCTTTCTTTCTCCTGAAACTGTATTTTGGTTGAATTTGAAATTCTTCATAGAGGTAAAATCAAATAAAAGTGACTGATTTCATCAGCATTGTAACCTTTGGTAAGAGAAGAATACTTGACATCTTCAGCTCAGGGCCCAGTTGTTCAAAGCCGGCCGATTTGTGCAGACTGGGTTCAAATTTTAGTTTGGGTTTCTTTCCTTTTGTTGAAAAGAATTTTCTTGGATAATTTGCCCTATACTGGAAAATTGTAGACAAAAAGAATGAAAGTGGATTCGCTTCTTGACGTTTCATATGTGAACTCAATTTCCCTACTCTTTTCTGTACCCCACATTTAACAGCCCGACTCTGATCATTTCCGTTATTTATTATTATTATTTTTTGCGGTAGGGGAGGAAGGCGAAGATGCGTTAAGACAATCAGAGATGTCCACAAATGAGATAACGGCGTTGATGTTCTGAAGGAATGGTTCCAGTGATCTATCAGTGTGCTACGAAAAGAACAAGCAGCGAGCAGAACAACTTTAAAGTGACTCTGAAATGATAAACACGCTGATACCGTAAACTTTGTGATCACGTCGCGCGAAAGTCAACGCGAAATCTGGAACGACACTGAAAAGAAAAAAAAAACAATAGCCTTCTTGTAGGCTAGGTACGAAGTCTGTGGATGCCAGTATTTATCAACATAATATTACTTCAGGAACCTCCAACCGTCGTACTGTAGCAAGCTGACTGCTTTGTAAGGTTGCTGTGACTTGATTTTAGGGATAGGTTTTTCACCCCATTTAGTTCAATTATCTCTCCAGTGAAAAATGGTTCATTAGGCATAAGAGGGTTAAATTTAACAGCAGTTTATTCTCCGCTTAAATGTATCCTTAACTGTAACAAGTGCATTGACGTTGAAGAAGAGAAGCAAAAGCATTTGTTTCATTATTAAGCCCCCTCGGCCCTTATTTAAAAAAAAAAATAATCGGAAAGAGGAGGGTAGTTTCAAAAGGGCTGTTTGCCGGTTTTGTCTGATAACAGATTTGGTACGTAAAATAGGGGTAAGCGACTTGGTGATCTCTGTGAAACTATCTAATCGAAAGTTGGGGTGTTCACAGTGGCAAAACGGGACGACAGTCAGGCGAAGAAATCACAGGGAGAGAGGGTCCTGTCCGCATTGTCAAACGCATCAACTCGCCTGTTTGCCGAGTCAAATACAAGACTGGTGGTCGGACAGCGGCCTTCCATTGTCAA